GTATTCCGGTCTGCGCTGATTGGTTGTTATTAATTGACCTGTGACATCATAATTGAAGGGTGGCACGCAATCATCATAGGGATCCTTGCAGGCTCTCTTTCCCCAGAGAGCCTGCTCGCAGGCTAGTTTTGGTAATGATTTTGAGCAATTTCTCGGTAGTTGAGTAGATAAGGCACTTTCCTTGCATGTGCTATTGCTCGGATCGAATCCGAGAGTGGAATATTTTTAAGTGTATAATTATGTAAAAGTTCGTTTTAACTCAAATATTGTATGTATACGCATGCGTAATACGATGTCGGATCAGTAACCATTGAATTTAAAGTTCCAGTTCAGGATGAACAACCACAGCGAATAAAATATTAATGTTAATTAGGAAGAAACGAATAAAGGCATTGCTGATGCGAAAAGTCGTCAGAATTTGGACAGTATTCTTACGCTCTGTCAAAAACAAGCTTGCAAAATAAGAGAAGACATCAAGAATCTTGAAAATCATTTGGCAAAGTATGGGTACAAAAAACCAGCAGGTACTTTTTTTCATCATTTTTTTTTGTATATATACAAGCCCACACTATTTAAGTACTTCTGTACTTACTTGAAACCATTTACGATACCACAGAATAAAGACTTCGGCTGTCAAAAATAATTATGAAGTGTGATATCGTCACAGAACAGAGACGTACATCACAGACGACCACCTCGGCCAAAAAAAGAGCAACTGGTTGCCACTTACGCCATCATTTGCATTGAATCATCATCAAAATGCACTTGTCATGTTCCTAGCCAGTATGTGTACAAGAGACAATCACCCCTTGAATGTCTGCCATTTTGAATAATTTCAGGGGGGTGAATGTTTATCATAACTTGCAAATGCTGTCTCTATGCTTCTAGCCAGTGCACTTATGAGAGGCATTCACCCCCTGAAAATATTCAAAATCACAGATGTTCAGGGGGGTGAATTGCCTCTTGTAAGCACACTAGAGCTTGGAACATGGCAAGTGCATTTTGATGACAAATCATTGCGAATAGTGGCGAATAATATAATAAACCATCAATTGAATTGTTTAGAAAAACTTCCGGAGGTATCAGTGGATTCATCTGACGAATTTGACAATGAAAATGGGTATGTCAAATGCACAATTAATGTATGTCAACCATAGATTGTTGGCCATGAGTTTAACTATTTTTTCCACCCACACTCCACCCCTATTATATAGGTATTTTGTAACACATTTTTTCACAGTGATCAATGTAACAGCGAGAACTCTCAGAGCAGTTCAAGTGACAAGGAAAATCATTCACCAATGTCCGAACATGGAGCGATAGTTCAAAATACAGAAGTTTCAACAGAAGAAAGCCAGCCTGAAGGTACAGATTTGTATACCTTTGCATGATTTGCAGATTGCAGTGTAACCTAACAGAATATATGAAATTTAATCTATGGCTTGTTTATACCAACTAGTGCCTGAGACTATCCTCCCATTGTTGTTTAATGGGTAGTTGCATTGCATCCCAATGTGCCCTACTTTATCATTACTCTGTCTAACGCCAGCTGATTTTACTTGTCAGCGGAGAGTGCTGTCACTCAATGGGTTAAAAACATTAGAGAAGTATCTGTATTTGTGAGATTTCTGTATTAGAAGGTGTCTTCAATGGAGAGGTGTTTGTATCGGTGAGATGTCATATTATTAGAGAAGTGTTATATTTTAGAGTGTGTGCATTATGGAGGTGTTTATATAAGAGAGATGTCCATATTAGAGAGGTGTTAGTATTAGAGATATGTTCATATTAGAGAGGTGTTAGTATTAGAGAGATGTTCATATTAGAGAGGTGTTAGTATTAGAGAGATGTCCATATTAGAGAGGACCTGTGTTAGTATAATGTCCATATTAGAGAGGTGTTAGTATTAGAGAGATGTCCATATTAGAGAGGTGT